GTGTTCTAATTGCGAAGAATGTGTGTTGGAACACTTGAAGTTTTGTATCTGCGAAGGTTGCACAAATGAACTGCTACATAACCCTTCGCTCGGTAACATATTTTGCTTTCCCCTTAGGAATTCATGCTGTCGAGCGAAATAGTACCTGAAAATCCTCTAGTGCTTTGTGCTCGAGAACAATAGTGTAACATTTGTTCGGTAGCAAATTTAACTTTCCGGTGGGAATTTGCTAACAAAGCAAAGATTATCTTATCGCCCCCGAATGAAAAACTTGTCATCAAAAGGTCTTATTACTGTTATTTTTGTAGTATGCTCGTGGTCACTGCCTCGTTAAAAAATATTGTCATTGTTTGTCAGCAGTAATATTCTTTTAGGTGAGTCATGTTCTTGTTGCTTGGCAACTTGCCTCCGTTGTGGTTTTCTAACTCGTATGACCATTTACTAGTGATAGCTGAAACCCGGTAAGGGCCTTCCCATGTAGAGGCTAACTTGTCGGCGTTGAGTTCTCAGGTGTTTTGGGTCACCTTCCTCAAGACCAAGTTCCCTACTTTGGAGTAACGAAGGTTGGTTGTTTGACTGTAACACCGCTCCATCTTTTGCTTTTGAGCTTCCATTCTGACATGTGCCAGGTCCCTGCGTTCCTCGAGCAGTTCTAAGTTGATTAGCATTGCCTCGCTATTTGATTCTTCATTTGCTTGGGAATACCTTAAAGTGGGCTCCCCCATTTCCACCGGTATCAAAGCTTCTGCGCCATAAACGAAGTAAAATAGAGTTTCTCCTGTGCTTGATTTGACAATTATTCGGTAGGCCCAGAGTACCCCTGCCAATTCCTCGGGCCAACGGCCTTTTGCTGCTTCCAGCCTTTTCTTCAAATTTTGCACGATTTTTTTTATTTGTTGACTCTGCTTGTCCGTTTGCGCTTGGATGGTACGGTGATGAGGTAATCCTTTTTATCTTCAAACCTTCAAGGAATTTTGTGACTTTTGCGCTGACAAACTGTGGCCTGTTGTCGCATGCAATTTCCTTAGGTATTCTAAACCTGCATATTATATTCTCCCACAGGAAGTTGACCACTTTGCGTTCCCCGATCTTTTGGTAAGGGCCTGCTTCCACCCATTTGGAAAAATGGTCAGTCAAAATTAAAAAAATTCTTACCTTTCCTGGAGCTGGTGGTAAAGGTCCGACGATATCTATCCCCCATTTCATGAATGACCACGAGGACAGCATTGAATATAATGGCTCTGCTGGTTGATGTACCAGAGGTGCATGGCGTTGGCACTTATCACATTTTCGTATAGAGTCTTTGGCATCTAGATATATACGGGGCTAATAATATCTCGCCTGGACTAATTTCAGCACCAAAGAATCTACACCCGAGTGATTGCCACATATTCCTTCATGGATTTATTTCATGACGTAGCTGGCTTCAGACGCTCCTAAGCATCGGGCCAGCGGTCCTTGGAATGATATGCTTTATAACTTCCCTTTCTCGAAGTTGTATCGCGCGACTTTGGTATGCAGCGCTCTTGATGCCTTGAGTTCTTTGGGTGGTTTACCGTGTTTGAGATAATTGATTATCTCAGTCCCAGACCAGTTTGGTCAAATTTACCTCATAGTAACCTTTCGTGTCCAAGTCTGAGTTCATCAGTGAACTATTGCCCCCGTTTCTGGTCCCTGAATTTCTGTTGATGAGCCCTGATTTGCTAACGCATCTGCTTCTGCATTTTCTTCCCTTGGGATGTGGGTTATTGACCACTCCTGGAATCGTGACAACAAGGTCTGAACCTTAACCACGTACTATTGCATTCGCTCATCTTTGATATCAAAAATTCCATAGACCTAATTTACCACCAGTTGTGATTCACATTTGATGTTGATTTCTTCGGAATCGAGCCCCCGGTCCAATTCGAGCCCTGTAATCAAAGCTTCGCATTTCGCTTCATTGTTAGTTAAAGTAACCGTCCTAACGACTTGCCTTAAGGTTTCCCCAGAAGATGTGACCAAGACTATTGCGAGCCCGGACCCTTTCACATTTGAAGCTCCATCCGTAAATAAGGTCCAGGCTCCCGATGTCGGCTCTGACACCATTATTACCTCTTTGGAGGCCAGGGGAATCAAAGTCAGCCAGGACCTTCGACTTAATTGCAGTCCGTGGCTTATACTCTATATCAACCTCGCTCATTTGGACAGCCCATTTGGCGAATCTACCCGAGAGCTCGGGTTTATGGAGGATATTCCTCAGAGGAAATGTAGTCACCACCGCTATCGGGTGGCACTGGAAGTAGGGCCTTAGCTTTCGGGCGGCTACCACGAGAGCTAAGGCTAGCTTCGCCAGATATGGGTAGCGTGTTTCTGCTCGCGACAAGATTTTGCTAATGTAATACGTAGGGGATTGCGTACCTTTTTCCTCCCAGACTAAAACTGCGCTTATAGCAACTTCAGAGACCGCTGGGTAGAGCATCAATGTTCCCCTTATTTAGCTTTCGAGAGCAAATGAGGGCATGACAAATATTTCTTCATTTCCTTCAAGGCTTGTCTACACTCCGGCGTCCACTCGAAGTTATTCTTCTTTTTGAGTAATGCGAAGAAGCGGTGACACTTTCCTGATGATCAGGAAATGAATCTATTCAAAGCCTCCAATCTGCATGTGAGTCTCTGTACTTCTTTTACGTTGAGTAGTTGTTCCGGGATATCCTCTATGGCCTTGATTTTGTTGGGACTCACCTCGATTCCTCTTTATGAGACTAGGAATCCTAAGAATTTACCTAAACTGACCCTGAGCGCACACTTTTTGGGGTTAAACTTCATATTATGCTCCCTCAGTGTGTCAGACATTTCTTACAGGTGTCTCAGGTGGCTACCTGCATCCATATATTTAACGAGCATATCATCTATATATACTTCCATAGTTTTCCCTATTTTTTTTTCAACCATCTTATTTACGAGTCGTTGATAAGTGGCTTTGGCATTTTTTAGTCCGAAAGGCATTACGTTGTAACAATAAGTACCAAAATTTGTTATAAATGAAGTCTTTTCCCGGTCTTCCGGGTTCATCTTGATTTGATTGTACCCGGAATAAGCATCGAGGAAACTCACTAACTCGTGCCCGGTCATAGCATCGATCATTTGATCGATATTTGGAAATGGTAACGAGTCCTTCGGGCATGCCTTATTAAGATCTTTATAATCTATGCACATGCGAAATTTATTGTTCTTCTTAGGAACTACTACCACATTAGCTAGCCAGTCAGGATATCTTACCTCTCGGATTGAACCAATTTTAAGTAGACGGGTTACCTCTTCTCTCACAAATTTATTCCTTGCTTCGGCAATAAGGCTCTTCTTTTGCCTTACTGGAGGTATGCTTGGGTCCAAGCTTAACTTGTGTATGGATACTTCTATTGGGATCCCTGTCATATCCCCGTGTGACCATGTGAAACAATCAGCATTAATTTTAAGGAATTCAATAAAATCTGACTTGAGCTCCGGGTGTAGTCATGTTCCCAAATGGAATTTCGTTTCTGAGAATTTCTCAAATAGTGCAACCTGCTCTAGTTCTTCTGCAATGGATTTCGTTGCGTCTGTTTTTTCTGGTACTTGAAAATAACTTGGTATATGATACTGCTCCGACTTTCCTTCCCCTGGGGAGATTTCCTCTAATTCGGGGTTGGAAGCCGGTTTTGATAACTACTATGCCGCATGTTCCTTTCCCTTTCTATGAGAGACTGAGATTGCATTCATCGCTCTCGCTGCCGGTTGATCACCTATTATCCGCTTGATTCCCTCGTGTGTTAGGAGTTTCAGCAATTGGTGGTACGTTGAAGGCACAAATTTCATTTCGTGTAGCCATGGTGTTCCCAGGATGATATTATAGCCCATGTCCCCATCTACTACTTCTAAGAGAGTTGTCTTTGTTATGCCATCGGCATCCGTGAGCAGTAAAATTTCCCCTCGGGTTGTCACATTTGCAAGGTTGAATCCGGCAAGGAGCTTTGTTATCGGGATGATGTTCCCGCTAAGTTTAGCTTGATCTAGAACTCTCCATTGTATGAAATTGGCAGAACTTCCAGGTGTCACGCCCCAAACCTGAATAGGCGTGGCCGGCACCCGGTGCCTTACTCGGCCCGAGCATACCACTCTGTAACTGTGAACTCTGGAGGGTAACCCTCAACTTAGGCCGATGAGGCCATATTT